AAAAAAAAAAAAAAAAGAAGAGCCAGGAAAGGAGATATACCCTCCTAAGTCTTGCCCCCAGTGATCCACCTCCTAACAGCAGGTCAGCTCTGAACTCATCACTGCATTAATCTACCAATGAGTAGAGCACCCTCATGATCCCCTTTACCTTCCAAACACATGAGGCTTTTGCAGGATACCCAGATCTAAACCACAACACAGTCTCATTTGACAGTGTTCTCTTAACCACTGATGCTCTCCAAATTGCTGGAGACTTAAGACCTTACAAAATATTCTTGGGGGTCACTGTTGGGATGGACATTTTGATTTATGTTTTAGTTCTGTACTGGAGTTCTTAGTCACAGGTACAAGGGTATATTTGGGGCAAACATAACTCCTGGTTTACCCAAGATGGTTCAGATTGCAATTGTTGTCTCTGTGTGATTATCATTACTACTCCTTCTTTGTACTGTCAAAAGGGTGCCATTGTAGACTGATAAATTTTATAGTCACTATAGTTATGGGAGAAAGCAATATGTTTCTTGCTGTAACTCTAAATGGCTAGTTTCCATGTACTGAGGTTCTGTTGTGTATTTTGTCCTATAAGGTAGCATTTATTGAGTTCTTATTACTAGGTATTGTGCTAAGCACCTAACACACATTACCTCATTAACAAATCCTCACCATTTGTCTAAAGATAATTTTATATTCCTGTTTTACAGATAAGGAAGCTGAGGCTCCAAAGTTTATTTCATTTTATTGCTTCTATCTTTATATTTTATAAATTTAAGGATTTAGAATCTCATGGTGGCATGTGTAAGGCCTTAGGCCCCATCCCCAGCACCTCAAAAAAAAGTAATCTCTACATTGTAAACTTAATATGTATTAAGAATTTATCTCTTGGTATTCTGTAAACCAAGTTAAGGTTATTGTCAGTTTTGTCTTAACTCATAAAAAAATATTTCAGAGGTGAAAAGGAGAATTTAAAAGAAGTGTTAGCTGTGGAAGTAGCTTAGCAATAGATGTGCAAGGCCTTGACTTCATTTCCAGCATCATATAAAGATGATAAATGAACGAGTGAGTGAATGTTTCAGTAACTCTTGTTACGGCAAGTTGGAGAGTATTCAGAAATATGTAGAATGCACATATTTGTTCTTTGTTCTTAGATAATTCCTACATTATTCTTCATATTCCTGAGCTTTTTATTTTTCAACATAAACTTTGCCTCTCAGTGCTCCATCTTAAAAGGGCTATCATTCTCCCTTTTTCCATTCCAAGAGCAAAAGAATTTTTATTAACATATCTAGTGCCATGTAGTGCCCTTTGGTCATTTTAGAAGTTATTTCCCTGGACTGCTATCAACATGGTCAGAGTAGGAGTCCAGAAACTGTTTTATGATAGCTAATTGACCAATTTTAGTTCAGTTCAGTAACTGTGGATCAAGTGTCAACTATTAATAAACCTCTTAATTTAAAGAAAACCTCTTAATTTTGAAAAAGCCCATTTTGAATAAATCTGTCATCTTGTGGGTTATTTCCAGCCTGTCTATCGTCGCCTGAGGTGTCCAAATCAGCCAGAAAAAGCAACAACCCCAATATCTCCTTCTGTATCAAGACCCTCAGTCTACACCAGTTCCCATCTGCTGCGGACAAGTAGATCTTCAGTCCCTGATTCTGAGAGTTCAGAGACTGCCACAAACACCGTAACTGCAAAGGAAATGGACAAGAATGGTGCGTAGCATTTAAAAGATGCATACTGCTCCCCAGTGCACATGCCCTAGATTATTAAGATCCATATTTTTGTTTTCTCTCTGGTCAGAGAGTGAAGAAGCAGATTTGGACAATCAGTCCTCTACTCGGCTGTCCATCCGAGAGAGGAGGCGGCCCAGGGAACGTCGAAGAGGCACGGGCATCAACTTCTGGACAAAGGATGTAAGTGGATCGGTCCACTGTTCTTTTCTGTTGCGTTCAAAAGAGAACGTCGTACATTATGCCATGAATCTTGCAGATTGGCAAGAACTGTTGTTGCTGAGGAAAAGAGAAAAACAGACTCAACTAGTATGGGACTCATTTTGTATGTTCTTGCTGGATGGCCAGGACCCAGAATAGTGCTCAGCATATCACATGCATTCAGTAAATAATGGATGAAGACTTTAAATACCTTATAAGATTTACAGCAATCTTATAAACAACTGTAAACTCATGTAGTCAATGAATTTGGCTTAATACCATATATAAATAGAGATTCTGACTAAATATTTCAGGGAAGATATAAGAATTTCAAAATCCATAAGTTAACACAAGTTCATTTGACCCAAGTGAAAAAGGGAACAGATAATATAAAGCAAATTAACTTTGGCTTTTAAATAAAGATGCACTAGTACCTATTAACCACAAACACACATTCAGTACTTTAATGCACCCTCCTCCATACCATGTTCTGTATCCTCTCACTCAGCCTTGTTGTTGACATTTTAAAAACTAAGTGCCCAATAACTTGAACCAGAGGGCCCTCGTTATCAGTAATTCATTTGAAAAGTAGACAAATCCAGTCAGATGAGAAATGAGCCAGTAACTGTCATCTATTAGAAACTATCTTTTCGATAAAAGTGTTTCCTTATTACAGGGCCAAACAAATGGATACCTTTTCCCCCAGGGCTGGGGATCGGACATAGAGGGTTGCACATAATACTCAAGCACTCCACCGTGGTGCTACATCCTCAGCCTGTTAACTGGTAACTTTTGACAGAAATGAAGTTAATTCTCTTTTCTCAAAGATACCTTTTTTTCTCCCTGGTTGATCTGACATTTTTTTACTATAGGTCGTGTTCCAAGTTGCCTTCCTGTGACAGCTGTTAGAAGTGTCACTAACAGCAGCGCTTGACTGTCAGTTCTCATTGCTCAAGTTTGAATTGCCGAGATGCATAATTGATAGGAGATGACCTTGTTGCATTTTAAGATGATCCTCTTGTTTTTATTCCGCTTTTTCAGGAGGATGAAGCTGGTGATTCTGAAGAGGTCAAAGAAACACGAGTAAGTGACAAGCCAGTGAGGCATGTCCCATAAGCACTCAGTCTTGCTCTTATGCGTACAATTCTCATAGAAGAGCAGGCACTATGCATAACTATGTTGGGGAGTTTGAAGATAGACATTGCTCTGAGAGGTGTGCCGGGTGTTAGTTGGTGGTTCATATCATATAATGATGCTCATGTTCTTGGACAAGTTTCCAACATCCATTTATGCCAGCTGCCAGTCTCTATCTCCTGCCATTATAGCCTCCATTTTTTCTCTCTGGAATGTTACTGGATTGTACAAACTACTTTGAAGTGTTTGAAAGAAAAGTAAAAAGTAGTATCAGTTTCTTTATGAATGTGTATCAATAGACAGGAATATACATGTGAAGAATGTAAGACATCAGTCTAAACTCATTCATGTTTGACTTTGAAATAAGGTTCTTCTATAACTCCATCTCTAGAAGCCTGGCATCAAACCCCTCTCTGCAGTTAAAGGCCTGTGTCCCCAGAGTTCCTGAAGATAATAATCTAGGTTGCTGTAAACTACTCAGATACTATGGAATGGTGGCAGTTTCATCTCAGCATTGTTTTGCAGAAAGGAAGGAATTTGATTTTGATTAGATTAATTGAAATACATATGATTTTCCATTTTAAATTATGTGTAAAATTGTTGCCTTTTTGTACTTAATAGTTCTCATAATATATTTAGCAAACTAAAAATCAGCAACTAATTATTAGTAAAGGATTAGTATATTGTCATTGACCAGCCTATATATTAGTTCCAAATAATAGTGGCTTTCCTAAAAGCTGTATTCATAATGACTAATGGTAACACAGGTGAAAACTACATACCCTTGGTTAAAACTAACGCCACTTCACAAAGATGAGTTGTATGATGTGGAAATAGTGCCTAGAGGTTCCCTTGGGGCAGAAATGTTTGTGTGTGTCTGTTTGCACGCATGCAAACAACAGTAACTTTTAGATTCTTTAAGGGGCTAGGAAAGGCTTTTAGGGACAAGAAGATTACAGGAAGTTTCTTTTGGGAACTATATTTAAACATAGAATTTGAATAATAGATTACAGAGCATTGAAATGGAACATAATCCCTAGAGGTTATACAGGCCATTTAAATCTAGAGTTGCAACAAGGATGGTTTTGTTGTCATGGAATTTTTTTTTTCAAGTGAAAATATTTGTCTCTTTTTATAAACATCTTGGCACTGGAAAATCCAGCCTAAGGTACCAAGTAAGAAAAATTAAGATGATCTTGATGTAGTGCTTCTCAGAGAACTTCATTTTAGTACTATTAACTTAAAATTAATT